GAATGCATATAATTTTAGCACAAAATCAGGGCATCAAGAAGCTCCTTGAGTGTGTCAAAACTCAAATTTTTGACAGTGTATTTTACTTTCGAAGGCAGCGTCTTAATAGATTCGATTGAGAATTTGAGGCTGATTGGGGCTTACGTTTGATTATCAAAAATGTAGAGGATTAAAGTGATGAAAGCCCGTTCCTCGGAGCCCTTAATTTCAAATTTCGGAGATCATTGAAGCTTGCCACTGTCAGGGACACAAATGTGTGGGATGTTATGGTAATAACTGTGTGTAATATGGCTGTGATTGGTGAGTTTTCGGTTGGTGGGCGGGATTTGCAATGGAGGCGGGGCTTATCCGTCCATAGCAGCACGTTCGGTGCAAATTTAAGGCTCTTTAGACGCGCTTTTTCGCCTCAGACTTTACTGAGTGCTCGGTTAAGAGGCCTAAATTTTGGCATTCTTCTCCTTCTCCCCTCCCTACTTTGCCGAGACCCTGTGTTGAGCTTTCTCCAGATTTGCTCTGTTTTATGCTTCTCAGAAATAACTACACACTTTATTTAGCTTACAATACAAAAAATAAGTTGTACTAAGTGAAGCGAACAACATTTATATTCCACATTCAACACTGTATCTGCTTCTGCTCCAGTTTTCACTTCGAATCTTTGGTTTCTCTGTTCGGAGTATGTGGTAGCAGAACCTATACTTACATTTGAGTCATTTTCATACAGGGTAGCAAAAGCACCTTATCGATATTTTTCTCAAGCTCTTCTGCCTCCTTGTAACTCAAATCATCCATTGTATTCTCATCATAATCAAGTTCTCCTCGGCATGGATCGTAACCATAGACTATGAAAACTGGGCATTCCGATTCCCATGTGATGTGCTTACTGAAATTTCTCGCAAATCGAAAATCAGAAATTTTAGGGGAGTTTGTAATGACTGATCTTACTCTTTATACTTGGCTTTCCTTGCTCGCATCTCTTCCTGTGTCATTGCGTTTCCTATATTAGTATGAGCTGGGTGGTCGGGTAGCGAAGAGAGGTCGAATTTCTAAAGGTAAGCTTTTTTCTATTGGATGATGTTATTTTTAGTTCAGGTTATCTAGGAGAATATCATTAGCAGCAAAAACACCGAAAGACAGCGCCTAAGCAAATATACCCATGTCTACGAGCGGACCAATCAGAGCCCTCGATTACGGTAGATGGTGCGATCTGGGCTGGAGTTTAGAGTCAGATTCCTTGTCCAGGAATGAACTTTATGAGCTGCCGTTTGTAAAATGAGCTAGAGCTAGGGGCTCCCACGCAGTTTCTACATAAGAAATCCGTATAACCCTAATTTCGAATTGTACCTTCCTAGGAAC